GAGAAAAACTAAAACAAAACTCTCCGTGTCAACAAGTTAAAGTTCGATATTGAAAAAATTAAGGTCCTTGGCAGTCAAATGGCAATGTCACGATAAAACGAAAGGAATGACTCTTCGTGTCCTTTCCTTGGCGTTGTAAAGGTTCACTTTATGCTATGTGAATTTTTTCCTATTATTTTTGCATAATAAATGTTAATAAAATATTGGTTTATGTTTAAAAAAGTTAACAGAGGCCAGAGTCCGGATGGGGGTAGACTTGTCCATAGTTTCCATGTGTTTAGTTTTGTTAATAAGTTTGCCAGCTATGATGTTTGACATTTTTAAGAGGGGAGTATTATAATTGAAGACTTCATAGAAATATGATATCTTCTATGATATGAAGTTTTAAAGGCAGATTCTCTAGCAGGGACAGGCCCCACACACATTGTCCAAAATAAAGATCCCCTGTCCAACCCAGGTGGCTCCCTGACCCTTCCTCTCGTCCATGAATAGACGATATCCTCAGCCCTCACCTCATCGATGAGTAGACGATTTTCTCATCTCTCATCTTGTCTTTGGTTATATACCCTCTTGATATCTATCGGGACTCTATCCAAAGACAAGTTGATAGGTTAGGGAATCGTCTATTCATAGACCAGGTGAGGGGTCAGGATGTCGTCTATTCATAGACGACCTAAAAAGTCAGGGAGATCGGATCATCGGAGATCGGAGAAAACCAAATTCGGCACCTTTTCACCCCTTTAGGCCAACTCTTTAGCTCTTTTGATTCTATTTTCTTTCTGTGGCAGTGTAAGTTCTTGCACTTTTTACAATTTCAATGGCTTTACTCCGAGCTCATTTTTCAATATTTGCCGAATGGAATATTGCGATATGTTAAGCTCAAGAGCCATTTTTCGATCACCGCAACGCGCGCGGCTAGCCTTTTTTGGTCACACAAGCTAGCCTATGTGTGTGTTTCCAGCTGTAATGAAAATAAAAATATAAATTATCTCCAAGACACATGGCCTACTTTTAGGCTGATTATTATTATATTTTTTTCATGTCTCAGCTTATGACACCTGTGTTTGCTGGCGGTTGGCAGCAAATTGATGGTGGTGGAAAGAGCTTTCAGATTTTTCTTTAAAAATATGTGATTTTTTAGAAAAAAAGTTCCTCAGGTCCCTGAGGTGGGTTTTTTCTATAGGAAAAAATTCCTCAGATCCCTGAGGTGGGTTTTTTCTATAGGAAAAAATTCCTCAGGTCCCTGAGGTGGGGTTTTTCTATAGAAAAAAATTCATCAGGTCCCTGAGGTGGGTTTATTCTATAGAAAAAAATTCCTCAGGTCCCTGAGGTGGGTTTTTTCTATAGAAAAAAGTTCCTCAGGTCCCTGAGGTGGGTTTTTTCTATAGAAAAAAATTCCTCAGGTCTCTGAGGTGGGTTTTTTCTATAGAAAAAAAATTCCTCAGGTCTCTGAGGTGGGTTTTTTCTATAAAAAAAATTCCTCAGGTCTCTGAGGTGGGTTTTTTCTATAGAAAAAAATTCCCCAGGTCCCTGAGGTGGGTTTTTTCTAAAGAAAAAAATTCCTCAGGTCCCTGAAGTGGATTTTTTCTATAGAAAAAAAATCCTCCGTTCCCTGAGGTGTATTTTTCTATAGAAAAAAATTCCTCAGGTTCCTGAGGTGGGTTTTTTCTATAGAAAAAAATTCCTCAGGTTCCTGAGGTGGGTTTTTTCTATAGAAAAAAATTCCTCAGGTTCCTGAGGTGGGTTTTTTCTATAGAAAAAAATTCCTCAGGTTCCTGAGGTGGGTTTTTTCTATAAAAAAAATTCCTCAGGACCCTGAGGTTGGTTTTTTCTACAGAAAAAAATTCCTCAGGTCCCTGAGGTGGGTTTTTTCTATAGAAAAAAAATTCCTCAGGTTCTGAGGTGGGAAAATTCTCACCAAAATGCTTTTGTGCGCTTGTAAGCAACATAACGAGGAATAATTTTAACAACTGTCGGACGAGTGGCTTAAAAATGACAGCAGTCTGAAGTAGGTTGTAGTTTTTTCATCTTACCCTATAGGTGGACTCCCTCCAGACCCTTTAAATATTCAATTTGTTTAATCTCGTCAATGGCTAGACACATCCCTCACCTCTCCGGTCAGCTGCAGACAGATCCTCAATCCTAATCCCTCTAAATTTCTATTTGATTTCCTGACTCTTTAATTCTTTCTCTCCCGCCTCTATGACGAAATGGAAAATTTTCCTACTCTTCCGGACATACTTAACCATTCATCCAATATATTTTTTGCATGAGCTGACATCATTTAAGTATTAAAGAGTCTTCTTGTCAAACAGCCATTCATTCACAACCACATGAGGCAAAACTGTTGTGGTTGTGTGTTCGACTTGTTGTTATTGTATTATCTACATCAAAGAAAACATTGACACTACTTGTTAGGGGGAGCGGAGGCATTGCCATTATCATACCCATGAAGTTTATCATTGTTGTTAGTAAAAACTTCATTATCGTTATTGTTATGTGAGCATAACTAGGCATTGTTATTGTTGTTATTGTTATTTTGTTGGATCTACATTTTATGAAACATGAAACAGAAGAATAAAGATTAAACGCCTAAATATAGGCAATGTTATTTTTGATGTGAACAACACATGGCGATAGAGATTAGTTTTGGGGAGGACTTAGTTTGCTTGGCTTTTCTAAAGAGGGGAGAAAAAATGCAACAAAATTAAATGTTAAATTTTTGGTGTGAAATATTGTTAGGATGCACGGAGGAGGAGGGAGGAGGGGTTGTAGTAATGAGTAGGAAAAATGAAATAGCATTTTATTAATAATTTCTGGAATTCTTGTGGCTATTAAAGGTCCTGGAGGATTTTAATTAAAATTTATTTTTTGGTACTTTTTCTTGCCTCTCAAAAACTGTGCGTTTATTTTGGTGTCACCCTGTAAATGTAATCACATGTGCCATGCCATTATTATTAAAGACCACTAACAATTAATTAAAACAGATCTGTCTGTTTTTTTTTCTATTTGGTAAGCCTTCTTTTTGGCCACACATGCCAGCCTTTGTGAGTGTTTCCAGCTGTAATGAGAATAAAAATATAAATTATCTCCAAGACACATGGCCTACTTTTAGGCGGATTATTATTTTCTCTTTAAATGCATGATTTTAGAGGCGTTTGAACGCTTTTTTTCCATGTCTCAGCATAAAACAAATATGTGGAAAGATGGTTCGAGGCATATGATTGGTGAGGGAGGAAACTTTTTTCATAGCAAATAAAATTCCTCAAGTCCCTGAAGTTGGGTTTTTCTACAAAAAATAAATCCTTATACCCCTGAGGACATTTTTTCTATAGAAAAAAATTCCTTAGATCCCTGAGGATAGGTTTTTCTACAGAAAAAAAATCCCTGAGGTGGATTTTTTCTATAGAAAAAAATTCCTCAGGTCCCTGAGGTGGGTTTTTTCTATAGAAAAAATTTCCTCAGGTCCCTGAGGTGGGTTTTTTCTATAGAAAAAATTTCCTCAGGTCCCTGAGGTGGGTTTTTTCTATAGAAAAAATTTCCTCAGGTCCCTGAGGTGGGTTTTTTCTATAGAAAAAATTTCCTCAGGTCCCTGAGGTGGGTTTTTTCTATAGAAAAAATTTCCTCAGGTCCCTGAGGTGGGTTTTTTCTATAGAAAAAATTTCCTCAGGTCCCTGAGGTGGGTTTTTTCTATAGAAAAAATTTCCTCAGGTCCCTGAGGTGGGTTTTTTCTATAGAAAAAATTTCCTCAGGTATCTGAGGTGGGTTTTTTCTATAGAAAAAATTTCCTCAGGTATCTGAGGTGGGTTTTTTCTATAGAAAAAATTTCCTCAGGTCCCTGAGGTGGGTTTTTTCTATAGAAAAAATTTCCTCAGGTCCCTGAGGTGGGTTTTTTCTATAGAAAAAATTTCCTCAGGTCCCTGAGGTGGGTTTTTTCTATAGAAAAAATTTCCTCAGGTCCCTGAGGTGGGTTTTTTCTATAGAAAAAATTTCCTCAGGTCCCTGAGGTGGGTTTTTTCTATAGAAAAAATTTCCTCAGGTCCCTGAGGTGGGTTTTTTCTATAGAAAAAATTTCCTCAGGTCCCTGAGGTGGGTTTTTTCTATAGAAAAAATTTCCTCAGGTCCCTGAGGTGGGTTTTTTCTATAGAAAAAATTTCCTCAGGTCCCTGAGGTGGGTTTTTTCTATAGAAAAAATTTCCTCAGGTCCCTGAGGTGGGTTTTTTCTATAGAAAAAATTTCCTCAGGTCCCTGAGGTGGGTTTTTTCTATAGAAAAAATTTCCTCAGGTATCTGAGGTGGGTTTTTTCTATAGAAAAAATTTCCTCAGGTCCCTGAGATGGGTTTTTTCTATAGAAAAAATTTCCTCAGGTCCCTGAGGTGGGTTTTTTCTATAGAAAAAATTTCCTCAGGTCCCTGAGGTGGGTTTTTTCTATAGAAAAAATTTCCTCAGGTCCCTGAGGTGGGTTTTTTCTATAGAAAAAATTTCCTCAGGTCCCTGAGGTGGGTTTTTTCTATAGAAAAAATTTCCTCAGGTCCCTGAGGTGGGTTTTTTCTATAGAAAAAATTTCCTCAGGTCCCTGAGGTGGGTTTTTTCTATAGAAAAAATTTCCTCAGGTCCCTGAGGTGGGTTTTTTCTATAGAAAAATTTCCTCAGGTCCCTGAGGTGGGTTTTTTCTATAGAAAAAATTTCCTCAGGTCCCTGAGGTGGGTTTTTTCTATAGAAAAAATTTCCTCAGGTCCCTGAGGTGGGTTTTTTCTATAGAAAAAATTTCCTCAGGTCCCTGAGGTGGGTTTTTTCTATAGAAAAAATTTCCTCAGGTCCCTGAGGTGGGTTTTTTCTATAGAAAAAATTTCCTCAGGTCCCTGAGATGGGTTTTTTCTATAGAAAAAAATTTTTGTGGCTTTGAAGTAGATAGTTGTTCTCATCCCATTCCCTTTTTTTCTCTAACCTATCATAATTTTTTTAATTATGTTTCCATTATTTCTTCCTTCTATTTTCAGATTATTGAGACGCATTTTTAAGAAGCAGAAAAAAATGCGTTGAAATCAGAAGGATGGCAGCTGCAGGATAAAATCACAAGATAACACCCCACCCCCTTAACGCCATAAATCTCAAGAAAATTATTTGTATTTTTTCACAAAGCAAAAACAAACTAAACTGTAAAAGTAGAAACTGAAAAAAAGAAGAGGAGAATGAAGACCAGCCACATAATATAATAAGGAAATCCATAAGTAAAAGTAAAATTAAAAAAAGAAAAATTCTTTAGATACCAAACAAGGAGAAAAAAATAATAAACTTTATAAATAAATAGCAACGAATATAAAGAGAATAATTAATGAGTAAAATACATAAAAAATTAAATTTAAAAAATAATTAAAAATTAAAATAATGTTAAAATAAAATAAAAAAATAATTAGAGTTTAAGTCTATAGTTTTGTACTGTTTATCATAGAATTGTTATATGTTACAAACAAAAGTTATTGTAAATATATAAAAAATAAATAAAATTATTATAAGGCCAATTAAAAAATAAAATATATATAAAATATATAAATAATTTTTAAGAAAATGTGAAACGAAATTTCACACAAACATTCAATAAAATGAAAAAAGAAATGAACTATCAGTACCTAAAAGTATGCAATATAATGTAGTTTATTGAGCCCCGTTTTGATAGGCTAATTTGAAATATTTGCTTAAAACAAATAACAAACCAAGTTTAGATAACAGAACAAGAACAAAATTTGCAACAACAACAACAAATTACAACAAGGAACAACAATTTTAGGCAATTATAGATATTAGACTATCAATTTGAATACACATTATTTTGCAGAAAAAAATGGTAGATAACTATTAAAAAATAAACTATAAATAAAAATTATAAATTATAAATAAAAAAAATTTAAAATAAAAAATTTATAAAATTAAGGTAACTAAAAAAAAAATTAAAAAAAAATACTCAAAATTATTAAATAGTGTATAACTTAGTTTTAAGAAAAATTAATAAGAAATTACAAAAAAACAACAACTAATGGTTTGATTTTTATATATGTATGTAAATGATATATAAATAATATGAAATATAAACTAAATTATAAATGGCTGTTAATTAATAAAATGACATAAAAAAATTATAATAAAATAAAACAAAACAAAAATTCAAAAAATGTTTTATAAAAATATTAGCAAGAAATAAAGAAAAAACTATCTTTTAAGGACCTCAAAATTGTAGAATTTTTGGAATTATTAAATGGATAGGGGTTAAATTCAAAAACATGTTTCCGAACAAAAAATTGGAAATTTATAAAAAATTTAATTTTTCAATTGATTTCCCAGAAAATTGAATAACAAGCGACCAATGTAGACGACTGAAACCCCACGAGTCGTTATGTACCGTTTGGAGGGCAGATAGTCCATAGCGGCGTGTTGGAAGTCAGGCAGCCTTTTCTGATGAGCTACAGGTCTGATGACTTTATGAGCATCTGTTGAGAAGAGAGGGAGGCTAAAAATTCGTTATAGAAGACATGGAGTCTTAAACTTCTATGTAGAGGACCTGAAGAGCCAAGGATTCCCCTATCCATAAACGAGTTGAAGAAGAGCTGAAGGGCCGGAAGGACGTCTCTTCATAGACGAGCGCTGAAGGGCCGGAAGGACGTCTCTATTCATAGACGAGCCGGAAGGGCCGGATGGACGTCTCTATTCATAGACGAGTCGGAAGGGGCGGAAGGACGTCTCTATTCATAGACGAGCCGGAAGGACCGGAAGGACGTATCTATTCATAGACGAGCTGAAGGGCTGGAAGGACGTCTCTATTCATAGACGAGCTGAAAGGGCCAGAGGGCGTCTATTCATAGACGAGCTGAAGGGTCGGAAGGACGTCTATTCATAGACGAGCGCTGAAGGGCCGCAAGGACGTCTATTCATAGACGAGCTGAAGGGTTTGAAGGACGTGTATTTTTAGACGAGCTGAAGGGTTTGAGGGACGTTATTTCATAGACGAGTTGAAGGGTCAGGAATTCTCTCCCCATAAACCAGCAGAAGGTGTAAGGTCAGGGTGTCTACTTTTAGACGAGTTGAAGGGCCTGGAGGTCTATTACGCATAGACATGGTGACGAATTGAAGAAACATGGAACCTTTGTAGACAAGCTGAAGATCTACTTGAAATCTACTCAGACGAGCGGGGGGTAGTATATTTCGACGAGCTAAAGAAACGAACTGAAGAAGCCTACATGGACGAGCTGATGGAAGTCAACTTAGACTAGCTGAATGCAATCTCTATGGAGGAGCTGTAGGAAGTCCCCGAGTTGTTTTCGACAACCTCAATGTGGTTTGTTTCGACGAGCTGAAGAGAGACTCCATTCTCCCTTTTTAGGGGAGTCTTTATAGACGAGCCAACGAGTCTATTTAGACGAGCTAAATGTAGTCTCCATTAAGTCGAGCTAAAGGACGTCTCTACTTAGACGAGCTAAAATTCGTCTCTATTTAGACGAGCTAAAGGTCGTCTCTATTTAGAAGAGCTAAAGGTCTTCTATATTTAACCCAGCTGAAGGTCGTCTCTATTTAGACGAGTTGAAGGTCGTCTCTATTTAGACGAGTTGAAGGTCGTCTGTATTTAGTCGTGCTGAAGGATGAGCCACTTTAGACCAGCTGAAGGACGAGTCTCTATAGACGAGCTGAAGGACGAGTCTCTATAGACGAGCTGAAGGACGAGTCTCTATAGACGAGCTGAAGGACGAGTCTCTATAGACGAGCTGAAGGACGAGTCTCTATAGACGAGCTGAAGGACGAGTCTCTATAGACGAGCTGAAGGACGAGTCTCTATAGACGAGCTGAAGGACGAGTCTCTATAGACGACCTGAAGGACGAGTCTCTATAGACGACCTGAAGGACGAGTCTCTATAGACGACCTGAAGGACGAGTCTCTATAGACGACCTGAAGGACGAGCTAAAGGACGAGTCTCTATAGCCGAGCTGAAGGACGAGTCTCTATAGACGAGCTAAAGGACGAGTATCTATAGACGAGCCGAAGGACGAGTCTCTATAGACGAGCTGAAGGACGCGTCTCTATAGACGAGCTGAAGGACGCGTCTCTATAGACGAGCTGAAGGACGCGTCTCTATAGACGAGCTGAAGGACGCGTCTCTATAGACGAGCTGAAGGACGCGTCTCTATAGACGAGCTAGGACGAGTCTCTATAGACGAGCTAGGACGAGTCTCTATAGACGAGCTAAAGGTCGTCTCTATTTAGACGAGTTAAAGGTACAGTCAAGCTATAATATATATCGTCTCTATAGTCGAGCTATAATAGGCTGTCTTCATAGATAAGCGGGCGGGAGCCGATTAGAGAAGCTGAAGGACCTCCCAATGGACGAGCTAAAGAGACCCCTTAGAAACATGATCACGATTGTCCTTAGATGTAAATTGAAGAGGGTCAGAATGGCGAAGGAATCTATGCAAACCAAATGTCCTTCAAAAGTGGATTTTTTAAAGAATATGTTTTAAGGACCTAATGTCCGCTAAACGTGGATTTTTTAAAGAATGTGCTTGAAGGACCTAGAGTCTTCCAAACGTGAATTTTTTAAAGAATGTGCTTCAAGGACCTAATGTCCTCCAAACGTGGATTTTTTAAAGAATACATTTTAAGGACCAAATGTCCTCCAAAAGTGGATTTTTTAAAGAATACTTTTTAAGGACCAAATGTCCTTCAAACGTGGATTTTTTAAAGAATACTTTTTAAGGACCAAATTTCCTTCAAACGTGGATTTTTTAAAGAAAACTTTTTAAGGACCAAATTTCCTTCAAACGTGGATTTTTTAAAGAATACTTTTTAAGGACCAAATGTCCTTCAAACGTGGATTTTTTAAAGAATACTTTTTAAGGACCAAATGTCCTTCAAACGTGGATTTTTTAAAGAATACTTTTTAAGGACCAAATGTCCTCCAAACGTGGATTTTTTAAAGAATACTTTTTAAGGACCAAATGTCCTCCAAATGTGGATTTTTTTAAGAATACTTTTTAAGGACCAAATGTCCTCCAAACGTGGATTTTTTTAAAGAATACCTTTTTAAGGTCTTATGTCTCTAAAATTGGATTTTTTAAAGAATACTTTTTAATGACCTATTGTCCTTCAAACGTGGATATCTTTAAGAGCACTTTTTAAGGACCAAATGTCCCCCAAACGTGGATTTTTTAAAGAATACTTTTTAAGGACCAAATGTCCTCCAAACGTGGATTTTTTAAAGAATACTTTTTAAGGACCAAATGTCCTCCAAACGTGGATTTTTTAAAGAATAATTTTTAAGGACCAAATGTCTTCCAAACTTGGATTTTTTAAAGAATACTTTTTAAGGACCAAATGTCCTCCAAACGTAGATTTTTTAAAGAATACTTTTTAAGGTCTTATGTCTCTAAAATTGGATTTTTTAAAGAATACTTTTTAATGACCTATTGTCCTTCAAACGTGGATATCTTTAAGAGCACTTTTTAAGGACCAAATGTCCCCCAAACGTGGATTTTTTAAAGAATACTTTTTAAGGACCAAATGTCCTCCAAACGTGGATTTTTTAAAGAATACTTTTTAAGGACCAAATGTCCTCCAAACGTGGATTTTTTAAAGAATAATTTTTAAGGACCAAATGTCTTCCAAACTTGGATTTTTTAAAGAATACTTTTTAAGGACCAAATGTCCTCCAAACGTAGATTTTTTAAAGAATACTTTTTAAGGACCAAATGTCCTCCAAACGTAGATTTTTTAAAGAATACTTTTTAAGGACCAAATGTCCCCCAAACGTGGATTTGTTAAAGAATACTTTTTAAGGACCAAATGTCCTCCAAACGTGGATTTTTTAAAGAATACTTTTCAAGGACCAAATGTCCTCCAAACGTGGATTTTTTAAAGAATACTTTTTAAGGACCAAATGTCCTCCAAACGTGGATTTTTTAAAGAATACTTTTTAAGGACCAAATGTCCTCCAAATGTGGATTTTTTAAAGAATACTTTTTAAGGACCAAATGTCTTCCAAACGTGGATTTTTTAAAGAATACTTTTTAAGGTCTTATTTCCTCTAAAATTGGATTTTTAACGATTTTATGGGTCAGAGAATCTATGTCGAATTTCTGCTGGGTCAGGGAATCTGGATTGACCGGCTGGTACACTAGAGAAGAATTTTGGAAGCATTCTTCTATAAAACTTTTCCATTCAGTGAAAATCATATGTTCTTCAAACTTTTTCGAAGTCTGGGATATCAGCATGTCACCCTCTTTTTTCTCTCTCTCTTTCGTTTTGTTTTCTCTTTCATTTTTCCCTCTTT